CAGTACAGTACAGTACCGAGAGCCGTGCTGCCAGTACAGTATATTCCAGTATCGAGAGCTGTACTGGAGAGTGCAGTATTTTTATTCCAGTATCGAAAGCTGTACTAAAGCGTGCAGTATTTTTATTCCAGTATCGAAAGCTGTACTAAAGCGTGCAGTACAGTATATTATGGCCAAAGGTACTGCAATACTGAAAATACTGGCAGTATTGTACTGTACTAAACCTGCCGACAAACATAGGCTTGGGCCACAAGAACGATGCTCACAAAGGTGTGCTGGGCTGTGTACCCAGCAGGACACCGAGTCAGCGATCGCATCCGGAGCGTTTCCCGGAAAACAGAGAAACGTGTATCTGTTGCTGCACATGCAGAGTTCCCAACTCACCACGCTGAACCGCTCTCGAATATGATGACTCGAGCCGACCGACCGGTGAGGTTCAACCAAAAGTTCTTTGATTGCCAGCTATTATCTACACGAAAATGTAGTTACTAATGGTGACGACTTCCAAAGGTCATGAGGAGTTGACATGAGGACCATACACCGTGTAAGCGCCCCCCTCCTGCAGACTCTGCATACGTCTGTTGAGACTTGACGCTCAAGGTGAAACAGCACCGAGAAAGCCGCATCACGGCAAAGCACAAAGTGATGGGCGCCTGGATATTGCTGTTGCCCGAGCGAAGCCTGACAGCGCGGCTTGGGTTCTCACGGTCACTCGCTAGTACACTCCGAGGAAGCTTTTTGCATTGACGCCATGGGGGCCTTTCCAACGCCTCAAACCCACCACCGGAACGAAACCGCAGCACATAAAACTGAAGCTTCTCGGCTCGGGGTTCGTCGGATTAACACCATGGTGCTTCGTCCACCTTGGCGTTCGCGGGTAGACTTGATGACGTGGACCTGATACGCCATGTGGATCTACGAACGTCCAAATGATGTCTTCGAACCTAGGCGGTCAGTGATTCGCCGCGTGTCAGAGCTGCCGGTGTTGGATGGCCGGGCATTTTTCCTCGGCTCGTTGACTTTCCTGAAGCTGCTGTCGCCGTTACCACCAGTGGTGTCGAGACTGGTGGATTTCCCGCCGTATCCAATTTTAACGCGGCCGTTTACCTCCGCCGGCTTGACCGAGGCACTTGCCTCCTTCCGCGAAGTGGCAGAAGGCCGAGGACAGCGAAGGGCGCCGAGGGGATCGTCGGTGGCGCCGCGATCTTTGTCATCGGCATGTTTACCGCGGCCACTCCTACCACCGGATTCCTTGATCGCCTCAATGAGCTCTACCGAGCGGCGGTCTCCTCTCCCGTGCCGGGGTTTGGTATGGTATCCCTCCTGCTGCAGCTTGGGCTTTGTGTAGTATCCCTGCTTTTCTGGTCTCGGCATAGTGTTGTATCCTTGCTGCTCCGGCCTGGGTTTAGTGTGGTATCCTTGCTGTTCCGGTCTGGGTTTAGTGTAGCTTCCCTGCGGCTCCGGTCTGGGGTTAGTGTGACGTGCCTGATTTGGACGGTATTCCTCCTCGTGCTCGTGTTTGTGGTGATTTCCCTTGGATTCTTGCCATCGACGGGGCGGGCCCTGATTGGGAGGCGTTGGTTCCGCCTGTGCACGGAAAGCTCTCCCACCACTGTGCGGCCTTCCTTGCAAGCGCCCGCCGCGGGTCACCTGAAACAAGCAAGGGAGATTTCGATGACAAGAGGTACACTGCGTAGAAAAGCAGCGTCCTTCTAGTGAAAACCAAGGAACACCCCGCCCCCCTCCCGAACCAAGGTTGACGCTCAGGATCAGTAGGCTCGCTGTTTCCTTGCAGCAGCCTTTTATATGGAATTTCGTGTACATATTAAGACTGTATACTGTTACCTGTATTGGCCTTCGTGTTGTATTCGAAAACCCGAATAATACGGGGGTGAAGAGGTCAAGTAGGTCATACATCTCCTACAGGCTGCAACTATGACTTTCTATAACCCATATTAACCTCGGTGTGTAGGTTTGAGTGTAGGTATACTCAATCCTATAGGCTTTAGTGTCGTGTTCTAAAATTCGTAAGATACCGGGGTGCATACGGTCAAGTATGGCCATGCTAAATCAAACCACAAAGAAGGAAGAAACTGATATGCCATGTAACTAGGCACGTACAGGTTGTAGTATACACGCGCTAAAATCCATATAACTAAGCATATATCGGTTGAATGATTTTACGTCAAATCCCATACAGTGGATCCACCCCGCCTCCCCCTCGCGGCCAAGATTTAAGATTCGGGTTTAGCCTAGGAAGGTTCCTTGGTTTCCACTGGGAGGGCCCCTTTAGCTATGACGCTCAGGCGCCACCTGGGACGCTGTAGCGGTCCAACAGCAAACAATTATCACATTCGAAGAGTCAATGAAGAGTTAATGCTTCGTATGACACTTCTATTGCGGTGGTGACAGCATAGGCTGGGGCATTTGTAAAGCGATGAAAGACATTTCTAATGTCGGTGCTGGCAAGAACAGCGCATGTCGGTAACATCATCACCAGCGAAGGCTGTATTATGTGCATGCGCTTTCCACTTGAGATAGCAGCGGGAGGACTTCGCCGCGCCGGTCTCAGGTGGTCTTCGGTACCCTCCGCTCTCACCTTGAGAATATTTCCGTCTAACTTCTGGCCATCCATGCACTCGACCGCCTTCTCCATGCCCCGTTCCTTGTCGAAGCTGATAAAGGCGAAGCCGGAGCTCGCTGTGACCACAGCGGCCTTGGTCACCTCCTCTTTGGAGCCTTTCCGTTTGCTAGTTTCTTCCGCGCTGCAGCTGACTTTGTTGAAAATCACCTTGAATCCGTTGACATCGCCGAAGGCCGCAAAACGCTTGGCTAGCGTGGTAAATGTCGTTGAGAATGATAGCCCCCCAACGTGCACGTAGAAACCACCCGTCGCTTGGTGCTGGTTTTCCCAAGGACTGCTGTTGAAGCCCTTGCGATCCCAAGAAGAGGAGCCCTGCTTGGGTGAGGATTTCGATGAATCAGGATCGTTGTCCCTCGCCCTGCTGCTGCTGCGGCGGGTGCGGCTGCCGCTTCGCGAGTCTCTGTGTTTATCCTTATGCGATGTTCTGCTGCTATCCTCACGCTTCCTGTCTCGATCATCACCCTGCGGCCCTCCTTTGCTTTCTTCTCGAGTCCTCGCCTTGCCCTTGCGCTCGTCTGCGCGCTTCCCGACGGAGCCATGCCTGTCGCCGCTGCTGTCGCGGCGCGTCTTCTTGCTCTTTGGTCGATGGTCGCCATCATTTTCGTCCTTTCGACTGCTTGGTTCACGCTTCTTGCGCTCGTCGGTCTCTTCTCCCATGGAACGGCTACCGCTGCGCGCTTTCTTGCTCTTTCTTGGGCCTTCGTACCCCGGGGTGGGATCGGCGCCTGACCAGTTTTGCTTGCCCTGCTTCCTCGCCTCTTCTCGAGCCATCTCTCGTTCCGCCACAAGAAGCGCCGCTGCTTTGACAACTTCTTTCTCGAAGTCCTCTCCCTTGATAGATATTGGCGGCGGCATTGTGTACTGCGCGTCATCCGTCCAGGCAGCTGCGCGACCGGAAAGCGGCACGCCATGAGGTGCACTATTGGGCGGAGGAAGCCTGCGCATGGCCCCAGCGGGTACGTCGTCATCACCGTACCCGTCATCGCTGCTGCGCGGTGGGACGCCAACGGAGCCCGCTGAAGCCCTACGAGGCATCATGGCTCGGCCCCGAGGCCCACGCCGTTGACCACCGTCATCGTAAGCAGAATTGCCATGAGCGACTTGAGAATCCGCGTCGTCGTACCATTCTGACGTCTGCGGACCGGTGGGACGATGGAACGACGGAGGGGGCTGCTGGCGCATCGGCGCTCGTTGCGCGGCCGGGAATTGGTTCCTATCGGGGCGCTCCCATGCAGCAGACTCGTCTGCTTCGCTGTGCCCGTGTCGCTGGTCTTGCCAGTGCCGCTCCGCATAGTGGGCAGAACCACCTTCACCTCCGTACCTCGGAGCTATGGGAACATTGGCCCCGCTCTGCTGTGGCATCGGACGCCCGGAATGCCACGATTGGTGTTGTTGCTGTTGCCGCTGGTTGTGAGAGAGACCATCACCGTACGTGTCCTGAGGAGGTGGCGGAGCGCGCTTAACCACCGGCTGCCCTTGCTGGGGAGGCGGGGGGCGCTCCCAACGCGCGTCCTCATGGCTATTGGGGTTGTGACCCACTGCTGGGGGGTACCTCCCTCCGTTCTTGTTGGGGTTGGGGTTAACATGCCTGTGATCCATTTCACTGTGATAAGCGGCGCGGGCTGGCCCTGGACCTGCAGTCGAGGTGGCGCTGGCAGCGCTCGTAGACGGGGGACCACCCTGCGGGAGTGGCGGCGCGGTAGAGCCTGTCAGATCGCATGTTTGGATTACACAGGCGATCGGGGCAGCGCGGGGAGGGTAACACGTTTGTCAAAAACTCACACAAACAAGCAACACTGAGGAGGGACGGATCTTCGTGGAAGGGTGTTCATCAGCCAGGGACCAAAACAGGATGCAGCACTATGCGACGGTACCTGGTAAACAAGAGGTTCGACCGGCACATCGGAGGGATATCGTGTCCACACCATACTTGGTTGCCGTTTGAAATGGGGTCTATCTGACTCTTGTAGCGCTTTTTCGGGTTTCAAACACTGTTCAATGTGTGGTATACAGGGTCGGGGTCTGACACTTCCCGTACCCCAGGTGAAAATCCCCGGGCAGTTTAGGACTTGATCAAGCAAAAACCAGTATGCTTTGCAGAGAGTGAAAAGGAGGCTACGATTAACAATAATGTATGCCCACGGCTGCTTGCTCGACTGATTTTCTCTCTACTTCGAATGCAATTTCTTGGAACGCGAAGCTGCGGGGAACCGGTGTGGTGCGCTTGGCACAGACAGGTACCTGGTGAGTGGCCCCCGCAGCGACATTTGTTGCTGCACAGCAGTCAGTGTGGGAGGTCATCTGAATGACGAACGAATTAGGTATTGTGGGCGTTTTTTTCTCAAACCAAACAACGCGAATGCGGTGGATTGGTGGAGGGCAAAAAAAGTGAGTCTTAGATCTCTAGGCCACAGAAGAGAATCAACTCCTCCTGTGACTAAATCAACACATGTGGCTTCCGATGACAAAAATAAGTACTTCGCACTTGATTTCGTCGATTGTGCGACTCCCCGCTGCAGGTCCCAGCACACTGCTGCTGCTGCTGTACAACCCGCATGTTGCTTGTCATAGGACACACAACAAACAACAGACATGCTTCACCTCTTTCAGCCGTGACCTGCACGGACATGTACGCAAGGGTGCATGGCTGCTCTACAGCAGCAGAAGCAGTGAGTGGGGGGTTGTGTGGTTACAATAGTGTGCTTTAATGTTCTGTTTTTGCTGCTGCAGCTGCCGTGTCGCTATTGCTAGATTAGAGTGTGCTTCTGCTTGCTGCTGCTGTGTGCTACGAACAGAAAGAGAATAGCAGCAGGGCATATTGTTGCCTACACAGCAGTGTGTAGGACAGAGCAGTGTAGGGCACACAGTGCATGCTTGTTGTCTGTGATCATGAACAAACCACGAAAAAAAAATTGGGCGGCGGGGGCGACAAGTTTTTTATTGCCCAACAAATCAATCGAGGTCTTTTTTGACTTCCCTTTAAAAATCTTGACTTTGTGCCTCTGGCTCGAATGTAGGCTACGATAACAGTTATGCAATTATCGGCAGAACGTGAGCATTGTGTGTGGTTTACTTGGGAAGAACTTACTATTCCATCTACATGCAATATGAATGGTGCGAGAAAAAAACCTTCGAAACAGGTTGCCTCTTGGTCCTCAAGCGCTTCAGGTATCGGTTGACGAGCCGTCGTCAGGGGAGACGCTGTTGCCACTCACCGCCACCAACAGGCGGGAGTCTGGAGTTGAAAAATTGGCTCGTTTTCATGTGGCTTTGGTGTACTGCATCTGAAGGATTGTCAAAATTTGGGGTACTGTAGAGATCCCGCGAATGATGGTCACAGCTGGGAAAACGTAGTTAGAAGTCTTGCATGAGAACCTCCCGGAGCCCCTATGGTTTGCGGTCACCTCACCATATTATCTCGACACTGTCGTGACTGTCGTGGAACAGCACATCATTGTGTCGAACCGTATTTGACAATTTTAGCTGAAATGAAAAGTACAGAGACAAGGCCCAGGTTTCATTTGAAGGCAGCAGTAGGGAATATTGCACAATGAGCGAAAGCTTGATGCAGCAAGACTTGGTGAGGGATTGAAGGCTTAGGTTGTAAACCTCTTTTTTAATTGAGGATAATGACATTAAATTAAGAATAAGTCCCGGCTAACTTCGTGCCAGCAGTCGCGGTAATACGGAGGGGGCAAGCCTTATTCATCATAACTGGGCGTAAAGGGCCCGTAGGTTGTTTTCTGTTGAGTTAATTGTTAAATACTGTAGCTTAACTATAGAAAGGCATTTAAAACAGGAAAANACACCTTTGGGTGGGGTGGGGAAACGTCAATGGTAGTGGACCAAGATCGACGCCTGCTCATATCCACCCAAGTGGCACCAAGCAAATGTGTTCCATGAGTTACCACGGACCGAGGACGAGAACCATGATACTTGGCACGGCCACATTTGCTGCCGAGTTATGGTGTCAGAAAGATTGAGCAGGGTACCTCCACGGAGGTTGCAAACGTGCTCTCGAGCTGTTTCTTAATCATTCGTTCATCTCCACAATCCAGAACACGATACAATACCGCCTATTCCAGCAATTCCACCCCAATCTTTGTCGAATATCTGGGGGGCAACGAGAGCAATGAGCAAAATTTCAATCCGCAGCGACCGTGAGAGACCTGCGTCCCCTGCGGGTACATAGGATTTCACGTTGAATACAAGTCGGTGTGGTACATGTTTTATGATACTACAAGGCTCCCCTTAGGGAGTTTGGTGACTTGCCTCCCGGGGATGACGCAAGAGGACATGACCAACGTCATCACGGTTGCATCGCTGCGTGTCAACGTTCGGTAGAGCGCCGATTTTCCGTACAAATTGCAGAATTTGCGTCATGTGCGGGGTAATTCTCATCGTGACTTCCGCGTGTGTGGAATGTGAAAGTGTGTGGTTTCATAGGCTAACGGCATCTTTGTCGCACATCCTGTTTCTGTAACCCGCTGCGCTTGATCGCTCGCTCATCGTGTTAGGGACGACGTATTTTACCGTGTGGCTCATCGTGTGTGGGAACATTTGAGCATGTACGGGAATCAAAAGCCTTCCTGCTCACGCAGAGAAGTGTCTACATTTCCTGCGAGGCTGTTTTTTGTTCGGAATGCCTCCCAGCGAAATAGAGCCAGTCGAGACGAATCTAGGCGTCGTTTGCACGTGACACGGGTGCCTGGCAGTCCTCGGGCATGCGCGGTGTTGTACGGACGAGCCCCCGAGCAGGAAGCCACGAGGAAATATTCGCTGCCGTGAGAGAAGTTGATGCCGCAGCAGGAAAAACATCGAATGACACATGAACTACAACGCTCCCCTTCGGGAGTCTGGTGGGCTTCCCTCCCGGGGGCGACACAAGAGGACGGGGCCAATGTTCATCATAGTTTGCCGTATCTCAACTCTCAGAATTCGGAGTGCTAGTTTCCATATGTACAAATGCAAAGTATCGCATCATGTGACGTGCGGTGCACGGAAAAACGTTTGTTTCTTTCTCTGTAACTAATCGCGTGTGCGTGAGTGTCTACTATTCCGGCGTCTTTGCCGCAGATCCTACTGCTGTAACCAGCTGCTTTTCAACGCCCTCTCCTGTGCATTTCAATCGTGTTGCTAATGGTCTCGTGGGAACGTACGTGTTTGTATTGCGCAGGAGTCAAACGTGTTCCTTTCTATGCAACTATCTTGCACAGTTCCCTGCGGAGGAGTTTGTGGTGTGGAATGCCTCCCCGCGAAATAGAGCTAGTTGGGGCGAGTCTAGGCGTCGATTGCACACGTCCCACGAATGCCTGGCACCCTCGGGGCATGTGCGGTATTTTACCGACGAGCCACCTGCCTGCCGCTGCGAAGAAACCCAAGAAAGTTAAGTTGTGCCGAAGTACGATTCATCCCGAAAGAATAGATGGTACACACATACGCCGTGGAGCCATTGTAATGCTGGTCGTGTCAACACGCACACACACACACACAGCCGAAATGAATTTGGTCAACACTACCAAGTCTTTGGAGCCCAAGCTCTCCTTTCGAAACTTTTTCATGCAGCAGTGCGTCACATGGTGGAGACGGACTTGCAGAAGGTAGCAGGCGAGGAAACGTCAAAGAAAGGGCATTGATCCGCTTGGAGGAAGCGAGCGGCAAGGGAGTTTTGTCGTGGTTGACAACACAAGGGTTGTCAGCAGATGAAAGAATGCTGCCTGATCTATATCGAGAGTCAATCGGTCGTGTACTGGGGAGTCGCGATGGAGCAGACTGTGACACAGGCAAACTTTGTGGTGCAGGTGCATTGTTACCATGCAAGGACCGCTTGAGCCGAGCCCACTCCCTCGTCTGCACCAAGACCGGCGCCTCAACCTTCCTCCATAACAGGATGGTTTGAGTAGTCCTCACGACACTGCGCGAGTGCCATATGCCCATCGCCGTTGAGGATTCTTCCCCTTTTACCACAGGCACTGGTAGGGGAAAGGGGCTATACAAGATGGATTTGGTAATCCCCCCAGGATTACACGCAGGAGAGAAGGAAGAGGACCTCTGCACCAAGTCCATTCTGATCGACGTAACAATCGTCAACCCATCAGCAGGTCGAAGCATCGACAAGTCGATCCTTAAGCCAGGATCAGCCCTNGCAGCCACTGGTAGGGGAAAGGGGCTATACACAAGATGGAATTGGTAATCCCCCCAGGATTACACGCAGGAGAGAAGGAAGATGAACTCTGCACCAAGTCCATTCTTATAGACGTAACAATCGTCAACCCATCAGCAGGTCGAAGCATCGACAAGTCGATCCTTAAGCCAGGATCAGCCCTCGAAGATCGAGCTGCAAGTAAGGCAAATCACTATGCGGGAACTTTCAACCCGTCTAGATCTACCCTCCTTACTGCTGCTTTTTCAACGAATGGTGGNATTACACGCAGGAGAGAAGGAAGATGAACTCTGCACCAAGTCCATTCTTATAGACGTAACAATCGTCAACCCATCCGCAGATCGAGCTGCAAGTAAGGCAATTCACTAAGCGGGAACTTTCAACCCGCCTAGATCTACCCTCCTTACTGCTGCTTTTTCAACGAATGGTGGTCTTGGCAAAGGCACCAATCGACTCATCGTTGCCATCTCCAACCACTTGGCGCACAAAGCTTTTTGCCGGGTGAACTTTGTCGACGAAAGAGCCTTCGTTCGCCTGAAAGCTTTCATACTAACGGGATTCGGAGACGGTTTACCTTCGAGCTAGCTCGTTTTCTGTCGATGCGAACTCGCGATGTGTTCAAACGTCATGGGCTACTGATCGACCAACTTCCACCAGGGCCAATCGGTTGGGATCTCTGCGACAACGATAGTAATGGGGGTAATTCTTTTAGGAGTGACGGAGACAAAGTAAAGGGAAAGGGAAGAACGGAGGAAGACGACGATGGAGGAGGAAAACATGGAGGAGCGGAAGAGAGCAAAGGGTTTGAACCAGATGACCTTCCCCAAAACAAACAACGTAGGGCTAGGGAAGAACTGCCCAGAGATTCTTGTCAACATGAGGATCGGTATTTTATAGGAGCGAAAGCAAGGAGGATAATGGCGAAAGTACTCCTAAACGAACTCGAGTACGAGGAAATAGCCTTGGTAGACGCGTGCAGTTTTCTTCTATTGCTGCTGTTTCTGTCTTTGATCCGAAGGATACTTAAGCCTCCCCCATGCTGCCCCCTCACGGGGTCCCAGTTCATGGCAGATAGAAGTGTTTTGTGCTTTCAACCGCACTAAGACTGACATCTTTTCATTGGTCAGCCGGTTAGCGCGGTCGATGCTCATAATAAAAACACACACAAGCACACGCAAGAAAAAATCACGACTCCCGCTGTCAATCCTAGCAAGCACTCACCTGGTGCTGCGACCCAGGCTGTGACTGGCCGGCCGAGTATCAGTTTCCCGTGAACATGAGCGACCACCCTACTTGCATCTTCGGCCGAAGCGTATTCGACGACGCCCGTAGCCTTCGTATTATGTTGATGCAGACGGACGTGGGATCAGAGAGAGAGAGAGAGAAAGAGCGGCAAAAGTAAGCAGGATACGCGCCTATTTGTTCTTTTGAGGCAGCTCGCTGCTGCTGTGGCACTCATCCAAGTATATATAAACCACGCGAGAAAATCGGCATTGTGCTTGGAGTTTAGTCCGCGGGGGGACGGTGTTGTGTGTGTGTGTTTTTTATTATTATTAGCATCGAACGCGCTAACCGGTTGACCAATGACAAGATGTCAGTCTCAGTCGGTTGAAAACACAAGTGTGTGTGTTTATATTGTTAGCATCGACCGCGCTAACCGGCTGACCAATGAAAATACGTCAGTGTGTGTGTGTGTGTTTTTTCTGCCATTAATGGAATCTGTCGACTGCCCCTCTGGCCCCTATCCTCCACTTCTGCTAGCTAGATGACCCAACCGGGGTCACACAGGAGGGGGGGGTTGGACCCCCTCCTGCGGTTCCTGCCTGAGATATTTTTATCGCGAGAAGGGTACAGCAATCCCTTCCCTCGCGACTTATGAAGTCGATGTGTGTGTGGACATGGAGGTTGTCGAAGATTCCAAGCATGATCAGAGGTAACACACATTTGGTTCCAAACCACGAGACACACATCAGCACAACCCGAAGAGCACTCAAAGAACAACGCCTGCGTCATACCACCCCATTCCAACTGCTCGCAGCCCTTTAGCCTGCCGCGAAATGCGGCCACAAGTCCGTACCGGGGAAGCAGGATCGATCCCTGGTGGCTGCTGAAGGCGAAAATTAGTAACGTGTCCGAGCTGGCATAGAAGTGCCTTGAGGGCTTCCTTGTCCACGTCCCTGCGAGAGCAAATACATGAACTCGATGGCTCGGTGGGATGGAACACTGAGCTTGTTCTTCTTTGTGCAATGAACGTGCGGTCGAACGCGCGCTTTGATACCAATATTTAGAGGAGGGGCGCAAAAAGGTACCCACTCGGCGGTAGAGTGCAGAACGCACTACTCCTGGAAAGGGGGTGTTCGGTTCCCGCGACCCGTACCTTTTCAGATTGCCAATGATGACCCTTGTATTCGCGGGGCCTCGGGCCTCGCCATCATCTGACCCTGTCGCGATCGCGGACCCAGCGCCATTGGTAGACATGGTATGCGGATCCAAGTACTTGATGGTGCACTCCCCAGAGCAGTGCGGTGCAGCATCTAATCGTTCCCCAGCAGGCAAGGGCGTGGGGGTTCAACGGTTTGAGATTCTGCTTGCACCTATCTCTCTTTCAACGCGTCGGTATACATTGCGTGCCCCCCCCCGGGTCGTAATCGCCGCGCAGTTCTGAGTGCTGCTGTTTCGCGTCTCCCTCTGAGTGTATCACGACACCTGCTGGTTCCAACATGAGCGGGATTAATCCACGCCAGTGGACCGACAGGAAGAAGCAGGTGATGCGAGGAGATGGAGTTGCGTCGGTGTAGTGGTTGAGTTGCTGCCTTTTGTACGACGTCCGTTTTGGTGGATGGGATGAAAATTCAAATCCGTCGCCATGTGCAGGTCTTTCTACTTCCGGTATCTATGTAGTTGCTCTGCCGCTGCTGTGGGTCGTCATGGGATAACGAGAATTGGGTTCCGACCAGGACATACTTTTGCATGAGCTCACCAGGAACGGAGATTAACGTACGTCCCAAGCCAAAATGGTTGTGGGTAACTATTCAAACGAGATACTGTTCAGCAGCGAGAGAGTCCTCGCGGCGGCGCATGTGTTCGCCTGCTTTGCCCGCTTTCTCTTGATAGATAGTCCTGCCGCACCCCCCGCTCCATTCCCGCATCGCGCATCATTTGCTCATTTCTCTCTGCACTCGCATCCGAACCCGAAAAACCCGCCTTGATCCTGCTGCCACAAATGAAACGACCAGACATTCACTGCAAGTACAGTAGCTCTACTGACATCGCAAAATCTATACGCTGCACGTCCCCATCGTGAGGCATTTTCTCGAACGGGTAGTCTACATGGTATTACAGAACGCTGCTGCGATTTTGTGGGTAAATGCCAGACATGGCATCACACATCTTGTAGGAAAACGGTACTGCATGTGGTACACAGAGCTACATGTTGCCAACCCCTTTTATCGTGCTTAATGCTTGACGCACGCATTTAGTCTGAAGCGGGGAGTCTTCGATACAGATACCTGTGTCAGGGAAGAAGCTTGAGTACAGAATGGTGTGCACAACGAAAATTCCGGAAGCACTTACACGTCTCCACGAACTACAGTAGTCCTCTGAAGATTGCTACTGTCCGCCTCTCGACTATGCATACAAACAACCGAATTGTACCGCGGGGGGGCGGGGGGGGGGGCGGGGGGGCTCTTTACCCAAAAAACACGCTTTGTTCAATCAAAATAAAATACGCCTGGTTGGCCGATCAAAACAAAAAACACGAAGCAGGCCCCTGCAAGAAAGCGACGATTGGTGACCTACACCATGCAGCCCTTGAACGAGCAGCCCGGACACCGCTTTGGCGTGAACCGCATCATGCGGCTGGGCGAGGACATCCTACTCTCCGCCGGTCGCGACGGGGTGATTCGGCGCTGGGACGTTTCCTCGATGCTTGATCAGGCAGCAGCAAGAGGAAGCGCCGGCAGCGGACGACGAGATGATGGTGCGAACGAACGCCTCTCTCGCCCCGTTGATGCGTTTGCGTACGTGCTCAATATTCTGGTCTTTTGCGCGGCGGCGGCGGCGGCAGCGGCGGCCTGTACTCTGTCTGTCCGAGCGTGTTCCTTGTCTGTCGATCAATCTTGACCGTGGAGCCTACTAAGACACCAGTTCTTTCTCTTTGTCGTTTGACGTCGTTCGGTTGTCGATATGGATGCTTTCATCCAACTTGTTCGCGCATGATCCCCCCTCCCCAACACGCAAATGCTAGGATCACACCAAGCGTAGCGGAAGGAGAGGAGAGACTCGGCAATGCCGCTTAGAGCAAGGTCGTTACAGTGTTTTTACTTTCGCTGATTCTCTTTGAGCGTGATCTTCCCGATATTGTATGCTTTCTGCCTACCCCCCCAATGCCGAGCGACGTACGCTCCAACACCCGGTTGTGACCCTCCCCCCCCCAACGTCACAACCATCGCCCACCAGCCGACGACGCGGACGAACATCAACTGCAGCACCCTCAGCCACCGTGCACCGGCGTTTTCGCCTCTCACACGGACTGGGTTACTGGCCTCGCGGTAGCCGAGGGCCGCATCATGGCATCCGCGTCCTACGACGGCACCCTCAAGCTGTGGGACCTGGCGGCCGCAGATAGAGCCCGCAACGCCGACAAAGGCGGACGAGAAGCAGCAGCGGCAGCGGCAGCAGCAGCAGCGGTAGTCGCCGCGCGTCGAATGGAGGTCGGGGGCAGGGATGAGGAGGACCACCGACGGGGGGGGCTAGGGGGACAGGGCGAGGAGGCAGCAGGAGAGGCAAACGGGCTAAGGACAGGTGACGGAGGGGGCAGTGTGCGGTTGGTGTTTTGTGGGCCGGCCGAATTATGACGTGTGGGGCCGTGTGTGGGAAACGTCCTTCCAAAGTGCTGCTTTCGAGTGTTTGTTCGGGTGGAGTGGCAGATCTTCTTTGACGATTTGGCAGCACCCCTGTTTCTGTTCTTCCAGGGACAGGCGCAGCGGAAAGGGAAAGTGTAGGGTATCTTCTGTTCCAATCGAGAGTCTAGAAGGGATTGAAACCGTCTGACTGACAGCCGACTAGTGGTTTGACGGCGTCGCTCCTACTACCTACGCGCGAAGCCAGGCAATTCGGTTCAAGGACCGTTCCTCAAGCGGCGAGATCAACGCTAAATAGAACCTCTCATATATGTCACCTCCCACTATCTCCAATGTTGCCTTGCCCAGTCGTGTATTCATAGTCGACGTTTCAGACAGGATCATGCGCCGCACATCCACAATTCTGGACAGAGAAGAAGTTGCGAGCGTTTGCCACGCGTTCAGAGCAGAGGGACTAAAATTCTGAACCTTCACCATCCATTGCGTTTTTCTGTTCCAACGCAACAACTCTACCCTCCCCCCTTTCGCCGTGTGCCCTCCAGGCATGCATGGCGTCCAAGACACCGCTGCAAGAGCAGCGGCATCGAACAGAAGAACGCCGCCGCTGCCGCCGCCTCCGCCGCCCCCCCGCCCCAACGCTCTGGCCACAGTCGCTGGCCACGGCGACTACGTCAAGTGCCTGACGTACGCGGAGCAGCGCGGCGTTCTTGTCTCAGGGGGGCTGGACAAGCGCATCCTCTTGTGGGACCTGCAGCGGATGTCGGCGCCGCTGATGGTCCTGCGCGGCGGGTCGGGGGCAGCAGAGGGCGGCAGCTCGGACGGCGGCTGTGGAGGGGGGGGAGGAAGCGCGAGCAACAACGCGATGATGAATTCCGCCGGCTACTCGCCGGCCGCGGGGCGACAGCAGGTGGGCGGGCAACGACAAGGCGCGGGGGCTCCGTGGTTAAGCGACGAGGGCGAAGGGGGGTGGCCCCACCTCAGGGACCCCTTGCGCGTGGCGCTGAGAGCAGGGCAGGCGGCGGCCGGGCCGAACGAGGTCCTGGAGCTGTGTCGGCAGAACAAGGGCTCGGTGCACTGCGTGGCGGCCGCGGCGGACGCGTCTCTCGTTGCGAGCGGCGGCACGGACCGCATGATCCGCCTCCTGGACCCGAGGGCCGGCGGGGCGCAGGCGGCCAAGATCTGCAAGCTGGACGGTCACGGGGACAACGTGCGCTGCGTGAAGATCGACGAGGGCGGCACTCGCGTGGTGAGCTCTCTCTCTCTCTCGCTCTCCCTCTCTCTCTCGCTCTCGATCGATTAAGACTCCGCTTGCTTGGTCAGGTTTCTAATCG